AGACATATTGTCAGGAGGGACCAGTCGCTGGAGAAGGATATCATGTTTGGTAAGGTGGAGGGTCAGAGAAAAAGAGGAAGACCCCCAAGGAGATGGATTGGCCAAGTGGTATAATCAATGGACTCAAGCGTGGCAACAGTAGTGAGGTTAGCCCAGGATTGGGCAGTGTTTCGTTCTGCTGTGCTCAAGGTCACTATGCGCTGGTACTGACTGGATGGCACCTAACAACAACAACAACAACAACTTTGGCTCTGTTACACAGTGAGTGGGGTTATAGAGGATACAGTTGTGGCTGTGATATCTGGGCATTATTGCTGTCCCCTGTTAGTGAGGCAAGTAGAGAAAACATACACACAAGAGAGAAGAAAAACAAATAATAGTGAAAAACAAAACAGCAAAGGAAAAGAAAAAAAGCAGACAATACCTAGAAAAAGAATATCAAATCCAGAAAGAACACAGAGGAAGAAGGAAATAAAAATTTTAAACCACAGAAGAGAAAGAAAGAAAATAAAGAAAAAGAACTAAGCATAATTAGGGAAAGAAATTAATAAAAGGGAAAGAGAGCAGAGATAGTAAAAACAAATAGAAAAAAAAAACGGAAAGAAGTAGCAGTGTTTTGAGAAAGAGAAGAAGAAAAATTTAAAGCTGAGATAAGAGGATGGAAATAAAGAAAGGATAAAGAGAGGAGGGAGGAATAAGCAAACAAAAACAATGAAACGAAAAAAAAGAAAGGGCAGATGTCAGACCCAGAAAGGAGAAAATTCTAGGGTTTCCTGCCAGACCAAAACTTAATATGGTGGGTGGGTAAGGGATGAACCAGTGACTCTGCAGCCCCAGATGGAGTTCCTATAGGGCTAGTTTTGTCCATTTTGGGTACACAATTCAAAAGTAGTTATACAGATTCCAAAGCACCTGAGGGATCAGGGTATTTCCATCCCAGAGAGCAGTCAGGAGTAAGAGATTCTGCTAGTCCAGGGCTGGCCAGAACCTGCTCTGCAGGCCTGGAGCAGGCCACTCCTGTTTCCAGGTGCCAGGATTGAAGCTGCTAGTTTCCCACTCGCTTTGATGTGCCTCCGACTACCCAGAGAGTATATGCAGGTGGGGACTTGACATGCTCTGGTCAGGGTAATGTATACAAGAAAAAAAATTCACACCCTTTTCTCCACCAATAAACTCTATGCCACCTACCACCCTCTTACCTTCAAAGCCACTTGAGAAAGTTCAAGATAGCCACACCAGTCAGCACATATCATCTCTCACCTGTGTTTTGCCACACACATCTGTTCAGCTGCTTCTCCTAGCAAGGGCTAGTCAGGGATGGCAAGGACTGGCTCTGCAGGTCTGAAGCAGTGCTCACCCAAATGCAAGTGCTGGGGTTGGTGTGGATAACTTTCCACTAAATTTGATGAGGCTCACAACTGCAGCACTCAACTCTGTGCAGTTCCAACCTCTAGGATAATGGGAGCTTCACTGGGAGTGTATGCAGGTGAGGGCCGGCCTTTCCTCTGGTCACAAGAGGAGTGTGAAAAACAAAAATTTCACCTTGATCTCCACAAGCCACCGATACAATGCCAATATGCTGTCTTGTCTCTGAAGTCACTCACAAAAGGTTAAGATGGCCATGCTACATCTTGTCTACCAGTAAAGATCACCAGTTTGTCTCCTTTTTTGCCGCCTCTGTCAGCTTTCTCTTCAAGTAAGCATTCATTCCACTTCTCTATCTAAAACTCAGGGTTCCAGGACTGTAATCGGCATCTGTTTCATTTGGTTTCCCTTATCTTGGTTGTAGAGCAGGGGTGGGGAACATTTGTTCTGGCACATTTTTTAACATCATTCACATATACTCAAGATCATGTTTTAGCTCTTCTAGACTTGTTTTAATTTTCTTCGGTTTCAGCCTTAACTTACATATGACCAATTGGTGGTCTGTTCTAGAGTCGGCCCTTGGCCTTGTTTTAGCTGATGTTATTGAGCTTCGCTATAGTTTGTTCCCACAGATGTAGTTAATCTGATTCATGTGAATGTCATTTGGTGAGGTACATGTGTATAGTTGCTGTTTAGGTTGTTGAAAAAGGTATTTGCAATGAATAAGTCATTGGTCTTGCAAAATTCTATCATGTGGTCTCCAGCATAGTTTCTACCACCAAGGCCATATTTTCCAACTACATATTCGTCCTCATTGTTTCCAACTTTTGCATTCCAATCACTAGTAATTATCAATGCATCTTGATTACATGTTTGATCAATTTCAGACTGAAGAAGTTGGTAGAAATCTTCAATTTCATCATCATGGACTTATAATGGTATTAACTAGCCTTCCTTGTAGGTATATGGATATTATCCTGTCACAGACAGCATTGTACTTCTAGATATATCTTGAAATATGCTTTTTGACAATGAATGAGATGTGAGTCCTCTTCAGTCTGTCATTCAAAGAATAGTAAACCATATGATTGATTAAAAATGGACAATACCAGTCGATATCAGCTTACTAATGCCTAGGATGCTTCTCTTTATACATTCCATTTCATTTTTTACCACTTCCAATTTTCCTAGATTCATACTTTGTACATTTCATGTTCTGATTACTAATGAATGTTTACAGCTGTTTCTTCTCATTTTGAGTTGTTCCCCATCAGCAAATGAAGATCCAAAAGCTTTGCTCCATTCATGTCATGTCTGTACTTTGAGGCAGAAGCTCTTCCCCAGTCATGTTTTCAGTGCCTTCCCAGTTAAGGGGCTCATGCTCTGGCATTATACCTGATAGTATTTCACTGCTATTCATAAGGTTTTCAGTGACTAGATTTTCATAAGTGATTCTCCTCTTCTTCTTCCTTGAGTGAACTTTAAAAGCAGAATTTTTTTATGTTCTAAGAAAATATTTTTGTTTTAAGATAATAAATTAAAGCATATTTTAATTCCATAAAAAAGCAAAATGGAAAAATAAACATCACCTTCCTGGAATAATGGATAGCTTTGCTGATATCAGATGGATCTTGGCTGAAAGCAGAAAATACCATTAAAATGCTAGTGTTTTATTGACTGTGCAAAGACAATCAACTATGTGGATCATAGAAAATTATGATCCATTGTAAAGAATGGGAATTACAGAACTTTTAATTGTGCTTATGCAGAGCCTGTACATAGAGGCAGTTGTTCACACAAAACAAGGGGATACTATTTTTAAATCAGAAAAAGTGTGCATTAGCATTGTATCCTTTCACCATACTTACTCAATCTGTATGCTGAACAAACAATTAGAGAAGCTAGACTTACTGTATGAAGAAGAATGTGTCATCAGTATTGAAGAAGACTCATTAACAACGGCAATATGCAGATGACACACCTTCCTTGCTGAAAGCAAAGAAGACTGGTGCACTTAGTGATGAATATCAAAGACTACAGTCTTCAGTATGGATTTCATCTCAATATAAAGATTTTTTAAATCCTCACAACTGGACCAATAAACAACATCATGATCAATGTAAAAATGGGTTAAGGTTATCAAGAATTTCATTTTAGTTGGATCCACAATTAAAGCCCTTGGAAGCAGAAGTCAAGAAATCAAACAACATATTGTAATGGACAAATCTGCTACAAAGGCCCTCTTTAAAATGTTTAAAAGCAAAGATGTCACTTTGAAGACTAAGGTGCAATTGATCCAATCCATGGTACTTTCAGTCACTTCACATTCATGCATAAGCTGGACAATGAATGAAGCAGAGCAAAGAATTGATGCCTTTGAATTATTGGATTGGTGAGGAAAATTGAATATATTATGGACTGTCAGAAGGACAGACAAATCTGTCTTGGAAGAACAGCCAGAATGCTCCTTAGTAGCAAGGATGGCAAGACTTTGTTTCACAAATGTACTTTGGACATACCATCAGGAAGTACCAGTCCCTGGAAAGGGGCATAATACTTTGGATAGTAGAGAATCAGTGAAAAAGAGGAAGAACCTCAGTTAGATGGATTTATACAGTAGCTGCAACAATGGGCTCAAACATGGCATTGACTTTGAGGATGGCACAAACCGGGCAATGTTTCATTCTGTTGTACAAAGAATCTATGAGTCAGAATCAACTCAACAGCATTTAACAACATTTTCATTTTTGTGTATCTCCTTCTAGACTCTTTACTCTAAGAAGACATTTGTAGACCTTGGAAGAGAATACAACTGGAACCTAAATAAACATGAAGCCAGTACTAGATCTCTTACATTTATGTAAGACCATACAATTGACAAAGCCCAGAATATCCATCTGTGTTTGAATGTGCTCAAAAAGTATTCCCCCTGCTTCATGTGTGGCATGTAAACTCAGAGGATTCATTTCACTGTTCCTATTCTTCATAGGTGCCCCTGACCCTACAGCTGGGGCCAGCATTGATGATGAGAACTGCTGGCATCTGGATGAAGAACAGGTGAAGGAACAAGTGAAGCTCTTTCTTTCCCAGGGTGGTTACTATGGCTCTGGAAAGCAACTCAACTCAATGTTTGCCAAGGTAAGACATGAAGATACAACGTTTTTTGTTTAAAGTAAGCTGGACTAACCATACTTCTAGTTTCATGCATTGCAACCAGTCACTTGACCTAGATGTTCTAAATGAGATCTAGTGGAAGGCCTGATCAGAGCAGACCTGAGCAAGTTGCAACCAGCAAGCCTTACTATCTCACAATGATAGTCCTTTCAGCTCCACTCTCTAAATGAGTTAGCATGACTTTGTAGGTGAGGCAGGGAGGAAAGAGAGAGGACATTTAATAAAGAAGCCATTTTTTTTGCTTTGACAAAATATTCCAAATGAGCTCTTGAAGTATAATGTCTCAGCAGTATCCCTGATGATAGTATTTCAGAACTGGGTTCTCTCATAACAGGCTTTCTTGATACATGCAGAGAACTTGCTTACAGAGCAAGAGTCCTTCTTTCTGGCATTTTGTGCTCAGATATTTTGTCTTCTACTTCCCCTTCTCCCCTTCCTTCTCCCTATACTTTTTATAATGTGCAGTCACCAACTCTTTGCCTCTCCTTATTCATCAGGTTCGAGAGATGCTGCGAATGAGAGATTCCAATGGAGCCAGGATGTTGACACTTATAACTGAGCAGTTTATGGCTGACCCACGTCTCACACTCTGGAGGCAGCAAGGAACAAGCATGACAGACAAGTGCAGGCAACTCTGGGATGAGCTAGGTAATTCCCCTAACTATGTCCTACTAGCTTGTGCTTTGGCAACAGTGTTGATAAACACTTGTAAATGAGTAATTTCTTTTATAAGGATTAGTGTAAACTCATTCCTTTGAGGTTGAGATTAAAGATGTCCTAAACGTTCAGCTTTTTAAAACTGACGTACCACTCTATCACCTACTCTTCCTCCCTTCAGGGCTCTCCCTCTGATCTTTGGGTTCCATAGCTCACTTTATATCTTTCTACTTCCACGAAAATTTAAAGCCTCAGAAACCCTATACAGGGTCACTATGAGTCAGGACTGACTTGACTGCACTCAACAAAAACAGTTAACAATATTTACAGTTCAATGATCTATTAGGGAAGGAACAAGGTACAATTTGGGATCAGCAACAACTTAAAAGTAATAGGAACAACTTAAGATACAATTCTTAATCAGGATAGATTCGTCTTGCCCTCTGCTGGTAGACCCTGCTTGAGGCCAACTCAGGCAAGTGTTACAACTCATCGCTCCATGAGTCAGCAAGCCCCACCACAGCTGTCTCACACTGGTCTCCTGGTTCCTGCTGTTTGGCACAACTATCCCTCTTGCTACTGCTGTGCCATTCTTGTTACTGCTGTGCCATCATTTTTCACTGTCTTCCATGTTACAGCTCCTCTGCATGTCTCTCTCTGGTCATGTCTCCCTTTAAATCTAGCAGGATGGCAGAACCGGCTAATCGTCTCACATCCGTGGGCTAATGCGTCAGACTGCAAAGTCGTTTGAACTGCAAGCTCAGTGGTTCAAACTCTCCAGCTGCTCCTTGGAAACCCTATAAAGGGTCACTATGGAGCTCTGGTAGCATAGTGGTTATGAATCGGTCTGTGAACCGCAAGGTCAGCAGTTCGAAACTACCAGCTGCACTGCGGGAGAAAGATGAGGCTTTCTGTGCCTGTAAAGATTTACAGCCTTGGAAACCCTGTTCAGGGTTGCTATGGGTCAGAACTGACTCGACGGCACTTAACAACAACAACAACATGGGTCGGAATCGCCTCCATCACACTTAACAACAACAACCCCTACTAACCCTGGTGTGGTGCTGTGGGCTAATGCACTGGACTGCAAGGTTGTTTGAACTTCATGGTCGATGGTTCAAGCTCACCAGCCATTCCTTGGAAACCCTATACAGGGTCGCTATGGGTTGGAACCGACTTGGCAACACTTAACAACAACAACCCTTACTAGCCAAGAGTCCTGGTGTGGTGCTGTAGGATAATGCATTGGACTGTAAGGTCAGTTTGAGCCTCAAGGTCAGCAGTTCAAACCTACAAGCCATTTCTTATAAACCCTATACAGGATTGCTATGAGTCTGAACCCATTCCACAACACTTAACAACAACAACAAACCCCTACTAGCTAGTGGAAAAACCACTCAGAGTAATTCAGAACTCCCTTATCTTGTTTCCACAGCTTTCTACATTTTGCCACATAGGAGCCTTTGCTGAGAGAAGACCTGTGCCCTTGGCTTCTGTTGCATGGCACTTGCCAAACTGTTCAAATACTTATCAGCTCACTTTTATCACATTACCTGGTTCTGCTCTTCTGTTTCACTCCTACAAGATGTATTAGACATAGAGCAGTTTCTAAGATACAGGCTTGGCCTCCTGTCTTCTTTATCTATATTCCCTTGAGAGTTTTCAGTTTTTTTCATATGATAGCTTCAGAGTTCACCTCTATGGTGACAACTTTGAAATCTCAAGTTCAACTTCTTCTCACTGTTCAAAACTCTAATTCCGTATTAGTAGCTTCCCATTGAACACTTCCATTTAAACATCCCCTGATTACCTCGAGCTTAAGAAATTAAAAAATGAACTCAGACCTTCCTTACAAAAAGATTCCTCTGACTCTGTATAGCATTGGCACCATCATTCCTTACTCTGCCAAACTTACTGTCAAGGACTCTTTTTCTTCATTCTCTATATCTAGTCACCAATTTCATTTGATTCTTTGACCTTCAAAGTACAATTTAGTACCTATTTCCTTTTTTTATTCCTTACCATCACTGTTCTATTTAAGGGTCTTGGCACATATAGATTAGAATAGTGGCCTTCTGAATGGCCTCTCTATTCTAGGGCCTCCTTCTCAGTACAGTTCTCATTTGATCATTTCTCTGTATCATTCCCCTGCTCCAAAGTCAATTTTGCAATGCTAATACTCAATTCCTCTTCCTGTTTTTGGAGCCTTTCGTATCCTGAGTTCATCATGATCCCATTTGGGAGATATGCTAGAAAAATTTTAATATGTCAGGCTCTCACATGTGAGAAGACTTAAAAAAAAAATTGTGGACAAATGGAATTAAAAGACAAAAATAAAAAATATAAGCTTTATTTCTCTACATAAGCTTCATCAAAGCCAAGACATTTTCAGAAGCCATGATAATCAGCCATCAAGTCCATCCCTAAAGAACTGAGTGGCTTGGAAATTGAACCATGGCAGTGCAGTCTATTTTGTGTTATTAACTGAAGAAAAATGGGTAACCTTTAAAGATTTTTTAAGATTAGGAAACAAAGAAGTTAGAAAACGTCAAATCAGGATTGCAAGGTGGATGCCAAATGATTTCCCATCAAAACTCTCACAAAATTGTCCTTGTTTGTTGAAAGTTAGGAGCAGGAGCATTGTAGTGGAGAAAGACTCTAGGGAAGCTGCTTTCCCGGGTGTTTTTTTTTTCTTTTTTTGCTAAAGCTTTAACTAACTTTTTCAAAACACTCTCATAATAAGCAGACATTATTATTCTTTGCTCTTGATCCTTCTGCTTTTACTTTGACCCAAGCACTTCCATCTCTTGGTAACCATTCCTTTTATTGTTTTTTGTTTTCAGGGTTTTACTGGTAAAGCCATGTTTCATCTCCTGTTACAATTATTCCAAGATACACTTCAGGATGTTGATATCACTTGTTTAAAATTTCCATTGAAATCTCTGCTCTTGTCTGCAGCTGATATGGGTATAACATTTTTGGCACCCATGAAGCAGAAAGTTTGCTCAACTTTAATTTCTCAGTCAATTGATAAGCTAAACCAGTTGAGATATCTGTGGTGTTGACTGTTGTTTCTGCTGTTAATCATCCAGCCTCTTCAAGTAGGGCAAGAACAAAGTTAATTTTTTCTTTGAATATTGATGTGGATGTCCTAATACTGAAGGGTTCATCTTCAACATTGTTTCATGTAACACAACTTATACATTTGCAAGCTGTTGATTTCTTAAGGCATTTCCCCCATGTGTTGGTGATTTCACCATTCTTTCACCCCAGCTTCACCATAAATTTGATGTTTGTTCTTACTTCAATTTTAGCAGAATTCATGTTGCTCTGAGAAGGCCTCTTTTCAAAAATGATTTCTTATCCTTCTTATTGCCTCAAACTAGATCTTGTTCAGACATAACAAGTTAATTTGAGTTTATTGGGGATTGGTATAAAACCAAATTGAAATCCATGCATAGGTTTTTCATAATACTCATTTTCCATGAACTTTTTAAAGGTCCCTGGTAGTTTTCCCAACTCAGAAAGCAACAATAGGCTATTGTTAGATGGAATTACCCTCCTTTGAATTGTAAGTGGCTCTTTGTATCTTGTACTTCTTCTGCTTTACTGTTTATACAAAATGGCATAAGAAAAAGCTGCAGTTTGGGATTTTAGTGAGTTATCCTGGACTGAAGCATATGTTTTATAGGTTTGTTGCTGTTAGTTGCCATCAAGTCAGTACCATCTCCTAGGGACGTTACGCACAACAGAATGAAACACTGCCCAGTCCCTGGCCAACCTCACACTCATTGCTACATGTGAGTCCATCACTTCTGCCACTGTGCCAGTCTGTCTCGTTGGGGATCTTCCTCTTTTTCTCCAACCTTCCACTTTACCAAACATGATATCCTTCTAGAATGACTGGTGCCTCCTGACAACATGTCCAAAGTATGAGATCAAGTCTGGCCATCCTGACTTCCAAGGAACACTCTGGCTGTACTTCTTCCAACACAGATCTCTTTGTTCTTTTGGAAGTCCCTGGTACTTTCGTAGCATAATGGTTACGAATTGGGCTGTGAACCTTAAGGTCAGCAGTTCAATACTACCAGCTGTTCCATGGAAGAAAGATGAGGCTTTCTGATCCCATAAATATTTACAGCCTCAGAAACCCTGTACAAGGTCACTATGAGTTGGAACCGACTCCATAGCACATAACCACCAACACCAATACCATAACGCAAATGCATCAGTTCTTCTATGGTCTTCCTTATTCACTTTCGCATGCATATGAGGTTATGAAAATACCATGGCTTGGGTCAGGCACACCTTAGTGCTCAAACTGACATCTTTGCTATTCAACACTTTAAAAAGGTCTTGTGCAGCAGATTTGCCTAACACAATATGTCGTTTGATTTCTTGACTGCTGCTTCCATGAGTGATGATGGTTGATCTGAGCAAAATGAAGTCTTTGACAACTTCAATCTCTTCTCCATTGTTAAGAATGTTATTGGTCCAGTGGTGAAGACTTGTTTTCTTTCCAGTGAGGTGTATCCCATACCAAAGGCTGTGGTCTTTGATCTTTATCAGCAAGTATTTTAAGACCTCTTCTCTTTCAGTGAACAAGGCTGCATCATCTGCATATCTCAGGTTGTTAATGAGACTTCCTCCAATCCTGATGCCACATTTTTCCTTATATAACCTAGCTTCTCAGATTATTTGCTCAGCAGACAGATTGAATTAAGTATGGTGAAAGAATAAAACCCTGTTGCATCAACTTTCTTAATTTTAAACCATTCGGTGTTCCCTTATTTCTTTTGAACAACTGTGTGTTGGTCTATGTATAGGTTCTTCTTGAGCACAATTAAGTGTTCCTGAATACTCATACTTCACAACGTTGTCCAAAGCTTGTCATGATCCACACAATCGAAAGCCTTTTCTTAGTCAATAACGCAGAAGTAAATATCTTTCTTGTATTCTCTGCTTTCAGCCAAGATCCAACTTATGTCAGC